GATATCCACCAACCGCTCTCTGCCTTCAGGTAGACTTGGCTTCATAATGAATCTTTATTTGCTAAAGATACATCTAGGCATATGGACACAGATGGAGACGTTGGTGCCCCGGCTGTGAAGTCCCGTTTGCTATTCATTTGCAGCCGATAAGAACTCCATCTGGGCTCTCTAAACAAAACAAAACCTTTTATCTCCTTGGCAGGTTGTTCCTAACCCACAAAAAGAACAATGCGAACGATTCTGACAAACTCACTGGGTGCTATTTAAAAGCCCAGGCAGCTGCCGAGTGTCCGTACATCTTCTCTCACTCAGCACAGAGAGGAAATGCCCTTGCAGAGACCGTCCTGGCTCTGGCTGTACATTAGAATCGGTGTCATTCTGAGTTTCTTTCCGGGACATGAACCAAGCAACCCTGAGCAACATGAGAAAAGCAGCTGCTATCAACTTAACAGATTTTCCTGCAACTTCCACGCGGCAAATATATACTGCCACAGCCAGAGAAGACACCTAGCCCACACGTGGAACCCAAAGCTTCAGGATTTCCTACAAAACTCCCCCCAAAGAGAAACAGTGTGGTGGGTTGGGGAAAACCTAAAGCTGCCCAGAAAGCATCCTGGGACAGGTAGGGCTCTGGTGTTGTGTTGGGGGAAAAAGCTTCCTTTGTGTCTTGTCGTAGGGTGAAAGAAATTTATCTTTGGTCTTTCCGCTTTTGTTTTATTTTTTTTTTCAAATTACATTTTAAGGTTTTTGTTTCCTTTTTGAGATTTACTTATTTATTTTATGAATGAGTGCTTTATCTGTACATACGCCTGCTTGCCAGAAGAGGGCATCAGATCCATTACAGATGGTTGTGAGCGTCCATGTGGTTGCTGAGAATTGAACTCAGGACCTCTGGAAGAGCAGCCAGTGTTCTTAACTGCTAACCCATCTCGCCAGCCCCCTTTCAGCTTTTATAATCAGAAAAAGTGTTAGCATGACCATCATCTCTCTCCACAGGCTTTCCACTTTGTACCATGGCCAACGTTTGTCTCCGTAGCAACGGCAATATACTTTCCCCCTCTGAGACAGGATTTCTCTGTGTAGCCTTGCTGTTCTGGAATGTGCTCTGTAGGCCTTGAGCTCACAGAGATCTGCCTGCCTGTGCCTCCCGAGTACTGGGATCAAAGGTGTGTGCCACCAATGAGTGGTGGCAGTGGGCTTTTTGTCATAGCCTGTCTAAAACTTAGCTCCTCAGTCTTCATGTATGATGTTATTATTTTGCTTCATTTGATTCAGGGTATTCGGGATTTTTGTATTCTAGACAGCTTTGCTTTATAGTACAAGGTGTCCTGAAACTTGGTATTCAGCCCAGACTGGTCTCAAACTCTCAATCCCCCCGTCTCAGCCTCTTGAATGTTGGATTTCCAGGTGTACAAATAGCTGTTGTTATACAAGATTCTAAAGAGAAAAATCTTCTATGGTGACTTTCTTTGTTATCTTTGCCTCCAGATTTCCTAAAACAGAAGCTAGGAGAGAAGCTACCTATCAATTGTCTTTCTTACAAAATTGAGTACCATAATCTTACAGTATTAGAGAAAAAAAAATTGTTATATCATCATTTCTCCATTAATGTCTAGGTAATTAATTCCTAGATCTATGATTAAAAATATCTAAATATTGAAGAGTAATCTATAATACGCAGGGAGAAGTCATAACTTCTTTGGGTTTTGTATTGAGTACATACGTGTGTAGTAGTAGTGTCACAGTGTGTGTGTGTGGAGGCCGGGTATCAAACTCAAGTGTTCCTCCTCACCTTCCACATTGTTTGGGGCAAGGTCTCTTTCATTGTTTGCCACAGTGTACCCCAGGTCCCATAAGTCTCTGGGAGTCTCCTTCCTCCACCTCCCTTCCCGTCTAAGAGCACTGGGATTACAACATGGGCTCCCATGCCTGGCCCTATATGGGCTCCGGGGATTTGAACTCAGGTCCTCACACTTGCCCAGCAAGTGTTTTGCCCACCGAGCCGTCTCCCCTGTCTGACTCTGAAGAATTAGACTTAACTGAGTCTGGTGCCCCTCCAGGAGATGTTGCCATCCCAAGGAACCAAAGCTTTGCCGACTGCACTTCCGTGGTCCTACGCTCTAGTGCCGCCTCCACAAGACTGGAGCCATGCTTCAATACACATCATTTCATCTGCCAGGCTGGTGAGTAACGGAACTACATCAATTTTAGTTTCAAAACTGATTTTACGTAAGGAATGCTCACGAGAGGATTTATTTTAGTCTGTAATCAACCATAGGGCAGATAGAAGAACTGTTTTTTATATTTTTTTAACTTGTTCTGTACGCCTGTAGGAATGGGGAGTGGGAGCTGGCACATGTGTGGCAGGATGCATATGGAGGTCAGAAGTCAACTTGGAGTTGTGGGAGTTGGTTCTCTCCTACCACGTGGGTTCTGGGGTTTAGACTCAGGTCATAGGCTTAGTGGCAGGTGCCTTTTGCCTCCAAGTCATCCCTCCAGCCTGCAGTTTCTAGTTTCATGACACTGGTTATCTCAGGAAACTGCCCTTTGGAGTAAGTGATGTCTTCACCCCTCCATGCTAGCTGCTAGATGAACTCTCATGGTCCACCTGGTTGAAGTGCAGGAGGAACTGAGCACTTAGTAGTTTTCCCTCTCCGAACGCGCACCCCTAGTCTAATCAGCCCTCAGCTGGACAGACAGAATGGGAAAGAAATGAGAATGAGGCGTAGGAAAATGAGAAGACCAGAGGCCATGAGTTCTAAGAAGTGTGCTTCCCTGCATCTGTGCGGGTGCGTGTGTGTGCACGCGCATGCGTTATAAGCAGATAGAGATCCTGACGTGAGTGCTGAGACTCAAACTCAGGTCCTCTGCAAGAGGTGCAGACACCCACTAAGCTAACTCTACATACCTGCCATTTTTAACTACCCCTGGCAGTGGCATCTGCCTTCATTAAGCAGTTGGCCGGGTGGATCTTGAAGTCCTTGCAATGTTGCAGAAAATCTAGACCGACATTTCATCCAACTTTTTTTTTTTTTTTGACAGACTCTCGCTTATAGCTCTAGCTGTCATGGAACTAGCTCTTTAGAACAAGCTGGTGTCAAACTCCAAAAGATCTTCCTGTCACTGCTCTAGGAGTGCTGGGGTTAAAGGTGTGTGCCACCATGCACAGCCGCTTCATTGTGCTTTTCAAACCTACCAATGTGTTCTTATTAACATATAAAGTTGCTATAGCTAACAAAAACAGAATTCATTGCACTAGCTCTCTGTCCCAAATAGAAAGACTTAGTTAGGGTTTCATCAGTGTCAAGAGACATCATGACCAGGGCAACTTACAGGTTCAGAGGTTCAGTCCACTATCATCATGGTAGGAAGCATGGCAACATCCAGGCAGATATGGTGCTGGAGAAACCAAGAGTTCTACATTGTGATCCAAAGGCAACCAGGAGGAGACTGACTTCCACAAGTAGCCAGGAGGATGCTCTCTCTTCTGCACTGGGCAGAACTTGAAAGCCCTCAAGGCCCACCTACACAGTGATACACTTCCTTCAACAAGGCCACACCCACTCTAATATGGCCACACCCACTCCAATAAGGCCACACATCCAAATAGTGCCACTTCCCATGGGCCAAGCATATACAAACCACCACAACCACCTTCCTCAAATAAGAGTAGTAAATGCATTCGTCTCAATGTAGTAAAGTCTAGCTTCAAGCCTCCAGTCTTCACAATTCCCAGTGCTTCATGATGTTCATGTCTACTTTACGTTACTAGACTTCACGTCTACCGTTCTAAAGAGCCTGCCACTGTTAATGAGGCTGAGGCAGTAAGGCTGAAACCCTCCCAAGTCAACAGCCCTTGTTTCCCCATCACAAGCCACCTCCCTAATGCTCCCCAGCTGTACGACCATTGTGACTCACCCGTGGTCATCGAAGAAAACTGTTTTGCACAGCCTGCTCCATGTGACTAAAGCAATTTTTTTTGGAGACAGGGTTTCTCTATGTAGCCCTGGCTGTCCTGAAACTTGCTCAGTAGACCAGGCTGCCCTTGAACTCAGAGATCTGTCTGCCTCTGCCTCCCTAGTGCTAGGATTAAAGGTATGCACCACCACCGCCCAGCAAAAAAAAAAAACAAAAAAAAAAAACCAATATTTAGTTAATGTAGCCTACTGATGATACAGGCATGAGTTTTGAATGAGTGTTGAGTGTTTGGACACTCTCAAGAATTCTTGGCTTCGGACTCTACAAATGTAGTCCTCCCTATCCCTGTGCTGTCCCCAAGAGAGACCTTGAACTTTTGTGCTGAGAATCAAGTACATACTCTAAAATCCAGCTTTTATTGATGGAGAATCTTACAAATGGAATTTTTAGAGGCTCCTGGGCCACCAGGTCCCCTTCCTAGTGACTGTTATTTGGTGACAGTCTCCACCTCTGTCTTCACGTGAGGTCACAGCTGTTCTCTCTGCCCCCCACTCTGAGGATGTACCCATCACTGGACATCATGATTTTAGACATCTACAGCTCCTGAACTGAGATTTAACTTCTGTTTTTTTTTCTCCTTTTATTTTTCTCATCTCTTCTTTTTTCCCTTCCTCTTTCCTTTCTTCCTGTGCTTTAATACAATCCAGAGTCTTGTTCACACTAGTCAGGCACCCAACATGAAGCCATATCCCCAGGCCTAAAGTTCTGCCCTTTATAAATTACGAAGCCTGTGATAGTCTATCAGCACAAAATAAACTTAAAAGACAATAAAACACTTGGATCAAGAACTTTACAAAGCAGTCTCCCAAGATAAAAATGAAGCCTTGAACTATGTAATAATTTTCTCAAAATAATTTTGCTCAAGATCAGAAAAGATTCAGAAGTGCTGTTCCAAAGGCCACGAAAGCTGCTGGCTTCTTGTTCTTGTTGGTTTTGGTTGGCATGGTGACAGGTGGCTAGAGCAAAAACTGAGAACTCACATCCAGTGCACAAGCACAAGGGAGGGAGAGAGAGAGAGGGGG